TTGAGATATGTTTACGGATGCTAGATTGTTCGCCTTGGTCGTTAGCTACCTGAGCTATGCGTGCGACTGCATAAATTTTCAAAGCAAGTTGAGTAGGTGTACATAAGTATAAATCGGCTAACTGAGTGCTAATTTCCTTCAAAAAGTAAGTGTCTACGAAATAGTGTTGTGTGAAAGACCACGAAATTTAAACCTAAGGAAAACAAATAATTTTACAGAATGCTATGATTTTCGTCCTTTCCGGAACATTTGGTCTTATCGTTTTGTACTTTTCAAAGATCTTTTTATATCTTTTCTTCCATATTTCACCTTGCTTTCATCAATTTTGAGTTAAAATTTTTGATTATGTTGCCATAATTGTGTTTACCTACCAGTTGTCATGGCAATTGATAGTATGACTTTATTTCTTTTGAATTTTCTGTTATGTTTTGTCAGTTGGTCGGACAGAGACAAGGTTGGCCTACTCTCCTGTCCGTAAAGTACAAGGACTAGTACTCCTATGTTTCGTTTCCATTATTATTAACTTGAATACAAGAAACGTGGCAAAGGAAGTAGATAATAAAGTTAGAAAGTAGTTTAATATATTTGACTCAAAAATAAAAGTTGAAATAATTACTCGGTATTGTTTACAGAAGGTATTACTGTAACCCATGACGAAAAACAGCCAAGAAAATGGAAGATCATGGGAAAGAAGTCAAATAAAAAAAGATATTGACAAGTCAGCATGTAAAAAAACTAGTTACTGATATAGAGGAACATCACAGAGGGATAAATAGTCTCACTCTATAAGTGACCAAATCTTACAACATGGTACCTTCAAGTCATAGAAAATATCAAGACTGGATACACGTTCGCAAATGCAATGACCCTTGAAGTCATGTCATGATAGAAACTTTTTTGTATGTAGATCAGATCATTTGATATATGATTTTGACATGTGGGTATTTTTTCTTTTTTAAGCATACAAGAACTCATGAATGGAGAATCTAACTGCGAGTCATTTAGAATTATAGGGCAAAGCATTGCCGTAAATATAATATTGAAAAGTTTTTGTAGTGAAGAAAGCAATGGTAGTTTTTCAGTAGTACTTGTCGTCAGCACTACTTCCATCGTAACAAAGCCACACTAGATCGACGTGCCACAGGAAATGCATTCTAGAGTGATGAACTACTAGGTTAGAAACAGCCTACATTTGTCATGGAAAATTCACACAAGTGTTTTAGCATATGTGTTTGTTGTCTGCCTCGTATATGTTCGTGTATAGCCCAGTGTGTTCTATTCATTTTCAGTGTGTTTGTGTGCAGCAATAAGTGTTAGTTTTTAGTTTAGTTTTTTTCTTATTCAGTTCAGTGTGCTTGTGTGCAGCAATTTGTGTTCATTTGTAGTTCAGTGCTCGTATTCAGTTCAGTGTGCTTGTGTACAGCAATATGTGTTCATTTGTAGTTCAGTGCTCGTATTCAGTTCAGTGTGCTTGTGTGCAGCAATATATGTTCATTTGTAGTTCAGTGCTCGTATTCAGTTCAGTGTGCTTGTGTGCAGCAATATGTGTTCATTTGTAGTTCAGTGCTCGTATTCAGTTCAGTGTGCTTGTGTGCAGCAATATATGTACTTTTGTAGTTTAGTATGCTCGTGTTCAGTGATGTTCTTCTAAACGTGTGTGTTTTCAGCACAGGGGTTGTCTTTTGCTAAGCGTGTTGTATTCACCCAGGTATGCGGCTAAACGTGTTCCAGACAAACGCGTTTAAGCTTTAAGTTTAAACATGTATCTTATTTGGGAAATTCGCTCCTCTAGAGCAGTTTTACAGCCATGTTTCCCTCGCAACAGATTTGATTCAGACAACTCGATAAGTAAGTTTTCACGTTTGTGGTTCTTATTTCAGAATTGAAAAAAAAAATCAAATTGGTTAACTACTGATTTGGGAAGAGTGCTTTCTCTTTGATATTGTCAAGTGAGAAGTGTAGTACTATTATTGGTCACTCCGTTACATAGAACCGCTAATAATAATACCAGGTATCGCAAAAGGCTGACAGAAATATTAACTGACGCTCTCGGACGAACAAGTACACTTCTGCTTTCGGAGTAGCAAAGGATAATAACTTCTGTTCCTGGAGAAGGAAACAACACAGCTAAGGGGAGTGACACGACTTTTGCTTGAGTCACACAAGCGAAATAATAATTTTGAGTACGAATAGATTATATGCCATCTTAAAAAAATATGACGTGCTTGTTCTTTTATATCGTTATAGTCTGAACACCATGTACGTAGCTTGTTGTGAGATATTCACGATTCGCTCATGGTGGACAGTTTTATCGTTGGTAATGACCCCGTTCTCATTTATGGAACGTGACATTACTTGAATGGGTCATGATTTACTTATAAATCAAAATACGTGTAATTCTCCCTCTACTTTTTAGCGTATCATTGTGTTAATCTCTAATTTCTGCACTCGTTTTATCGATTTCGAGTTTAAAAGGATTTTGTTTAAATATCGGTGATCTGGTATTAGGTAATATTACACTTCACCCTCTTTAATCTTATACAACTTTTTACTTTCCCGATCGTGATTTTATGGTCGAATCATCTTTCATTGTTCATTGGCAGTTTTTCATTTGCAATTTACTTCTGTATTCGAGAAAGAAGTTTCTTTCACTTCTCTTACAACTTTCTCTTTGTATTGACCTTCACCTTTCCAGACTCCATTTTCATCCTGCCTGCTTCAAGTCAGCCTTGTATCTGTTTCGGGAGAAGGCCTTTCTTCCTGCTAGCTTTCAGTCTGTTCTTTGTCCTTAACTCCAAACCAAATCGATGTATATACCCCACCATTCATACGGAAATCTAGAGTTCACCGACTCTTCCCTCGCCGACTGGCTAGTGGTGACTTTAAATCAGAGATCGTGGACGCATGAAGAATAAGAATCAATATGTTGCTTTATTACACGATTAAAACGTCGTCGTAAAACAGCTATACGCTAGTGAAACACTTAACGGAGTGAGTGGAAGCTCAGCACACAAACAGACGGCAATAAACGGCCACCGGAAATTGGGTAGAACAAATGAATTGTAAATGGTTATTACATAAAACAGAAAAAAAGGGATTCCGGATAAGGAGAATGTTTGAGGGTTGCTATGGACGTCTGTTTACATGGGTTATAAACTTTATTTCTTTTATCTAATTATTCTATTCTGTATAGATGTATGGTCAATTGAAAGTTACCCGGAGCCCCTAGCCGTGGAGTATCATTGCAAAACGAGTCTTACTTAACGGGGTCTGTTTTATTAGATAACATATATTGCTGGTACGCTGATAAGTCAATATTGATAAACTAATGGTAAAATAAAACTTATGTTAAAAGACGAAGCGATAACGTTTTGGCATTACAAAGTACTTCTCGTTTACGGTATGAATATACTTGCTTAAATCCTCTTTGTGTCTGAATATTTTACTTGTTCAAATCACATGCAATAATTTTTTTCTGGTGATATTTGACAAAATTCACAAATAGTACGTCATCAAAATTATTTCCCATATCATTCAGCAAAGTGTCTATATTAATCTGAACATGTTTTTTGTTACAAACAAGAAAGAATAGTAACACTCTGTTAAAATGTAGTTTCATTCAAATTTTATTTGTATAATATATTAGGGGAAATGTCCCCATCCTAAAACTACCTAATGACACCATTTAAACTGCGCGGGGATTTTGTAATTGTGATATTCTAGATGTGAGATACAAAATTCATTCAAAATATATATTGTATATCTATTTACAATATAGCCAGTTATTTTCTCGGGGGTGATATCTTCAGTTTCGCGGTACATTAACGTGAAATAGTGAAAATATAATGTCCTTTTACATTCATATCACAATGTTTTGATTTGTGAAATGGTATTTGGTCATTTTGAAAGAAAACCGCGAAAATTTTGACCCTTGAAAATAACCTGCTAAACGGTATATAAATTAAGCAGCAGTATTGTTTTGTCTTTTTGTTTTATCATTGATTATTTTTATTTGTAACACGCTTTTTTATTGGTTGAGACATAAAAAAAATCGCCATTTTTGGGTTTGTTCCAGTGCTTTTGATTGGCTTATTGAGCTGCATAACAATTTTTAAAACGAAATGATCCGTTAACGAACGAAAAACATTCGCGTGTTCAGATTAGGTTACTTAAATTGTGAGTTTTATTTACGACCTGACCTGCAAATTGAACCGCTTCACCAAAAAGGTACACTTTCCTTTTTTATGTTTAGCACATCGCACTTACCAACCTGGATTGACCAAGATTTACATTGCCGGAGTTATCGTGAAGCAGAAGGCGCTTGTCCTTTCAGAATACCATGTGTTATTTTCCTTATACTTTTAGGGCATCTCTGTATAAATCTTTCTTGTGTTCACAATTTTCTCTAGTTTCATTTTATTTGAGTTTGAATTAAATTATGTTATCATGTTGGTGTTTACTTTGTTGTTTCTCATGACAATGTAACTTAAAATAAAATCGTCTTCATCAAGAAACCAGTGGGTGGTACAATCAATGCAGGTAAATTCAACACTACAAGACAACATTGACTTTATATACCAGGTTAAACCAGGCAACATTAGGGGCTAAAGGATGTTTCTATACATAGATCAGACAACGCGAAGGTATTTACATCAAATAGCTTTAACCTAAGCTCGTTCCCAAAGGATACCTCTGTCAATTTTGTTAATGGTAATGAAAGTAATATTGTGTGCCTATCAACGCCATGTTCTTTACATGAGGCATAGTTGGTGAAATTGCTTTGTATGTATTTTGCGCAAAATGCGCCAAATAATTTCAACTAACACTTCACGTAAACATCCTTAAAATAAGAAATGAGAGTAATGTTTCTTGCAGATATAGTAGGATGTAGTTAATTCCTCTGTTGATGTTTGACTTGATTTTGTTCTTGTTCGAAAGCGTTAATTTTGTGTCACCATTTCGTTGCACCTCAAGTAATGCCCGTTTTTTCTCCATTGCAGGTGATTGCCGTGGTGTCAGTTTTCTTCATCGTGGTTTCTATTCTGTCCTTCTGTCTAAAAACACATCCGGAAATGCGAGTTCCAGTCTTGCGCAACACAACCTCAAATGCGTCAGACGGCAGCTTAACATGGCGCCTGGAAAAACGGAAAACAGAGCCACACGAAGCGTTCTTCTACATAGAGTGTGCTAGTAATGCATGGTTCACGTTTGAAATTATCATTCGTCTAATAGTTGCTCCGAATAAACTGGATTTCCTCAAAGCACCGGTGAATATAATAGACATAATAGCCACGCTTTCATTTTATCTCGACTTTTTATTAACAAGTCTAAAACAGGAAAGCGACATTCTGGAATTTTTTAGTATTATCCGTATAATGCGATTGTGTAAATTGACTAGACACTCGGCTGGCTTGAAAATTCTTATCCACACGTTCAAGGCTAGTGCCAAGGAATTGATACTTTTGATTTTCTTTCTTGTATTGGGAATCGTGATCTTTGCGGCTCTTATATTCTACGCTGAGAGAATCCAATACAATCCTGAAAACGACTTCACCAGTATCCCCGTTGGGCTTTGGTGGGCCATTGTCACCATGACAACTGTAGGGTACGGAGACATGGTGCCTAAAACGTATGTCGGCATGTTTGTTGGAGCGCTTTGCGCCCTCATGGGCGTATTGACAATTGCTCTACCTGTACCCGTCATTGTCAGTAACTTTGCACTCTTCTATTCCCATACGCAAGCGCGCTCTAAATTGCCGAAAAAGCGAAGACGAGTGTTACCAGTGGAAGCGCCGCGGCCAAAAGGTCCCAAGGCAGCGGGGATGCCCGGGGGGCAGGGACCAACCAATAGGCGCATGAACGCCATTAAACAGAACCACCCAGGGGCGCTTAACACAAAAATTAGCAGAATAGGTAAGTATACTTAGATGCAAAGCGTTTGATAAAAATTTGAAATTATTCATAGTTGATATTTGATTTATTTTGTTATGGTAGAAAAAATATTTTATATTAGGAAAATTATGCATTTCAATATAGAAGAATATTTATACAGAAAATGAAAGCTTGCTCTTCGAAGGAATTGACTATTGCGTTCCGTTTGTTTGCATATATTATATTGAATGATGTTAATATTAACTTATCGCCATGTGTTGTTGATATGGTAAGTCAGACTTGTAATCATTGCTGAGCACTAACAGTATGTATGTGCTTATTTGCAAGTAAGTTAAACATCTAAGTCAGTAAATATCTTGAGATTGATGATCTGCGTCAGTGCGCTGAGCATCTGTTGTAGAAAACAATGTTTATGTCATATACACATATATATACAGTATTGTAAATTAGATTATTTACTTTGTAAACAAAATATTTACAAAATGATACGTAGTATGTTTGTTAATGAAAATATCTGTTATCTTAGTCTGTGATAGGTAGTGTTAATCACTGCAAAGTATATCTACACTGTAGCAATATGTTTGACGGCACAGAATCCAGCATCTTAAGCACAGATTGTCTTATTTCTATATATCCGTCTATAGCTCGGCCGTTGTGAACGCCGTATTTGGTTTGATTTATGTATATATATATATATAGATATATTATGTATACGAATATATTATGTAAATATATAGCATTTCCACCGATTGCATGTAGAAATTTACACGAAATTGTATTTTTTTTCAGAAATCATAAAATCACATTTGCGACCATTTCATTGCTCTTTTGTTCATCACATCCATCTTGAATTGTCATACCAGCATAAGAGATCAGTCTTTTCACAACATTTTTATAGGATTCATATCTTATATTTTATCATGTGAAAACAACATCAAAACATATGACGTGTTCATATGTTGGTAACAAGCGGCGCGTCGAAGCTCATCTGTTCAGTACAGACCGAGGAATCACTTCAAACATTCATGTGCTTGAAATTTACATTACTTCCGGTATTCAGTGCGCATCCTCAGAACCCTTGATGTTGATGTAGATATAGAGCAAATTTTTATCTTTATTGCTATACGTTCCTGTTTATTTAGCAGAGTCAGGCGAGTTTTCTGTATTAAATTTGTAAATTTATCTGTGACATTTATTATTTATTTGCAATGAAAATTTGGGCTTTCTAAATCAACTTTTGACATTTGAAATATTTTTTTTTCTGATTTATCAAATTATTTCAAATGTCAAAATATCAGAGGATTCTTAAACGTTTGCTTGGTATTAAACACATACACGTTGTGATTGGAGCAAGGTTTAAGATACAAATTCGTTCAAGAATGTTTATCCAAAAAGTATATCTATGGTGTATAACTTTATTGAATTATAAAGATATAGTATAATTCATGTTATGGAAAATAAAGCTCAGAAAATTATCCTTCGAGAAAATTCAAGATTTTCTGCAGACGAGTAAATTGTTTTTGTTTTGGTCAATACTGATTAAACCTGTCACGCCATTTGTTAGTGTGTAGATAGGGTGTGATGGTTAGTAACTATTGTTATGTCCTGCTGGACGTTATCAGTTTATTGTTAATTTAATTAATTAATTAAATAAGGATAATTTTACACTGATACAATAAGCATATTTTCACTTCCGGTCATTTGTATGTAAGGATATAAAAATTGATTGTCAATACAGAAAACTCTGCCAGGCGACGTTTTGTTGCAAATACATGTTGTTGGATAATGTAAATCACTCTTACTTTTTCCCTTAAGCCCAAGGGGGTGCTATCCAGGAAATGTTTCCTTTCCGTAGTAAGTTATCTTTATGTGTAGCGCATGTGCACTAGAGGTAGTCAAAGGCAACATGCTATGTATGTTCATGGGTACATGTGTATATTAGATGTGATGGAGGCAGGTTGCCATGGAAACACGTTTTGTATTTAACACCACCCTCACCACGGAATCCGTGCACTTCCCAATCTTGTATCTTATAATATATAGTACTGATAGATACGCCTTATGACCAGTTATACGCTTCCGTTGGCGCATGTGCTATGTTCGTTTCCGCAGTAGTGAGGACAAAATAGTAGATGAACGTACAAATGTACCTCACATTCTAGTTACCGCGCATGCTCCTGTAATCTCGCCTTGTGTTTGTCGAAAGAAAGGAGCTGGCATGAAATAACGTCACTTTGCCCTGATTGTGTGTATACCTTTTCTGTAGAACTGGAGAGTAGATTTCCTCACCTTTATCGCCTATGCATCATCATTCTTATATAGTCACATTATCCATCTTGTTTTGTCTCATATAACAGTGTCTCATCTTCACCTTCTCATCGCTTCATGACGTCACCATTACGTCATATGCTCCTCACAAAGGCAGCTTGTAGAATGCATATAGAGCGGACTGAAAGAAGACGGGATACTCTTTATGGTGTAAATTCCATACAAAGTAGTTTCTGTAATCAGACCATGCAGATTTAATCATTTTCTTGTTGAGCTCTATTGTATCAACTGAAGAGAATTTGCTGACGACCTGTTTGATCTTGCTATGAAGCTTTTCTTAATTATTCAAAACGATGACAGAGAAGCAACAAAGTTATTTTTAATGTTTATTGTATCAGTTATGTATTTGTCCATTCACAATTCCTGACTGAAATCCCTTATGTAAATCCAGGATTAAACCTCTAACGTTTATCTTGTGCTCACAATGAAAGAAATAATTAGATAATTTCTTAATCTGTTATAATAATTTTGTAAATTTATTTCGTAACCGTTGTTGGAAAAAAACGTACACATTATCAGAAAAAAAGGGAATGCAATGACTTAGAAATCAATGATGTGTTTATATCAAGCTTACACAGATTGATAAGTAGTTGTTTTCTCCAACTATCTATATCTAGACACGAATACTGCAAGTGTAACGTAACCCAGCAACACGCCAGCTACAGGGATCAATACCCCTGTAAAGGTAGTTTTATGTTAATTATTTTGAGCAATCAAACGCGCGCTATCAATACCCTGCGACAGAGGTATCGATTGTGGGCTGGGCGTCAAACATGGCGTGCTTCAGGTTTGTTAAGCGGCCAAAATCGTGATGATCGGGAATGGTAAGGGCCAAACTATGGTACATCGGCAAAGTTCGCGGACCTCCCAGTGGAGCATGCGCAGTCAATGTCAACCATGTATCTTTTTGTATACTAAAATAGGTACATTTTTTTCGTAACATCAAAGTTATGCCGTTTTTGAGTATTAATGATTACTATTGACAGACGTGTTCGGGGGGGGGGGGGGGGATGGGGGGACAGGAAGTGACACTTAACAGGTGCAGGGGGAGAGGATGACCGGAAGTGACACTAAACAGGTGCAGGGGGAGGGGATGACCGGAAGTGACACTATACAGGATACACGATGATAGGTAGATACAGAGGAGTAGGTATAATATCGGATAAGGTTGATATAATGGAGAATTAGATAGACATATTAGTTCTGATATGATAAATGAACAGGTTAGAGTTACAACAGCATGATTAATTAAATATACAGGTAGGTGTGATAAAGGATACGGTGGCATGAAAATAAACAGGTTGGTGAGACAAAGGATTAAGTGGCATGATAAATGAATAGGAAGGTTTGATAAAGGATTAAGTGGCATGATAAATAAATAGGAAGGTTTGATAAAGGATTAAGTGGCATGATAAATAAATAGGAAGGTTTGATAAAGGATTAAGTGGCATGATAAATAAATAGGAAGGTTTGATAAAGGATTAAGTGGCATGATAAATAGATAGGTAGGTGTGATAAAGGAATAGGTGGCATGAAAAATAAAAAGGAAGGTTTGATAAAGGAATAGGTGGCATTACAAATTAACAAGTAGGTGTGATAAAGGATTAGATGGAATGCTAAATAAACAGGTAGGTGGAATTTAAGGCTAATTATGTAAGATAACGAAAAGGTACATGTAGATATGATAAAAAAGGAAGTATGATAAAGTTTTGTGTGTGGATGAAAGTTAGGATTAGGCAGGTAATAAATAAAATAGATGTAATAAAGGATTGGGTTGATGTGATTAAGGAAAACAAGGGTATGACAGACGAGTGTACTGATATTATAAAGATTAAGGATAAAGGTATACAGATGTAAACTGAAGTATTAGGAAGCAATGATAAAGGGCTAGGTTGGTAGGATGACGGTACAAAATAGGATACGTGAGGTCCGATAAATGACTGGAAAGGTTTGTGTCCGAATCATTTATGTATGGCAAATAAAGTCATTACGTTCATTTTGTTTTAGAACATAAATAACAAAAATGTCTTGATGATTTCATCAGGATTACGAGCTGAAATTAAAAAAAGTGATAGTTTTCTATCTAATATTTATAGATAAGTTATAGAAATATACACCAAGCGGTATGTTGATGTGTCCGTCAAAGTGTTATATATGAAGATTGGACTAGGCTGTTGGAATCGGTTCAAAACATCCATTTACGCGATGGATACACCACATCAATTATATAGACATATCATCTTCATTAACACAGGATGGCCACGTGATTGTCGCTGTCTCGTTCTTATTTCCATAACAAGAGACACACCATTTATTAATTATCAGATGCTGGATAATACTGGTGAAATGTTACAGAAATCAGTCTAGAAGTTCATCACACCGCTAACCTTTTTACTTGAGGTTCATTGTATCGTTAATGTAACAGATACATTGACAGGCAAAGTGAAGAAATGTGAATTTCTAAAACTGATCAATTTCTTTACTGATGTTTCTGCATAATGAACATTTTACGTATTGGTTACAGCGTTTATGACAATGACAACTAAAAGAAAATTATTTTCTTTTTGCCGTGAAAAAATTCAAATTATTTTTATTGGTAGTTTATAAACAAATTGACGTGTTTTAACCTTGTCGACAGATCAATAAAAATTGCCATTTGCGGCAGTATTAGCATGATAAAAAAACCCCACTGC